TCTGGACACATCTCTCAGCACACGGGGAAACAAGCGCCACCTACAGTATATATAAGACAGTGAAATATTATTGGAGCAGTGTGTAAGATTTAGCAGCATTTAGTGGTGAGGCTGCGGATTGCAACCAACTGAATACCCCTTCCTCACTCCTCCCTTTCCAAGCGTTTAATAGAACCCACAGTGGCCGTTAGGTTTTCTGTCGTCGCCTGTCCCGATTGTGTTTTGTATCTCCGTTTCTGTTTCCTTGACAATGAGAATTCACCTATTATCCTTTTTCTTGGGCTAAATAATAAGTATGATCTTTCATTTGTCACAATTTGGGTTTCTCAACCACTGATTCTTCTTTTGATGTCTTCCAACTGGTGCCATGGAGCCACTAAATTCAAGCTGCAGCTTCAATGTAAATACACGAAAGGCGCTCTCTAGAGCAGGAAGGCCTAATCCTTGTCCTGGAGATCTACCACCCTGACAGCTTTGTTCCACCTCTAATCAAACACACCTGATCCAGTTAATGAAGACCTTCAGGTGCATCTGAATATTAGAGCCAGGTATGTTGGACCTGAACTCTCCAGGGTGGTAGATAGAGCAGGATTGAGAACACTTGCTCTAGAGCCAGGGTTTGTCCATTTTGGGCTACTGTAAAAACATGGCAGTGCAACATGGTGGCCTCTGTTGAAGAAGCACCTGCTCCTTATGTAGATATGAAGGGCCCATTCTAAGCCAATGAAAATGATTCGTAATTAAAGGTGAATGTGCACTAATTAAAACATGGTTTTGTATTATATATTCCATTTCTGCTAATAGATCCCTCTAAATCTTACAGACAGCACCTTTAATCACTGACTTGCTGTGGTTTTTCTGATGTGAATGTTTAATGTTTCTCCTCTTGTGTTTACGAAATGAGTAAAATTTCACTCCCCATCAAAACTCATGAAATACTGAGTATTTGATTTAAACATACCCCACATTAATTTTTTTTTATTCTAAAAGCTTGTCAAAGTTGCCCTCGCCTAGTTACAGTCGCTAAGCTATGATTGGACATTTGGTTTGATTCATTTGTGAAAGTGCATTGTATTACTGTGAAATGTATTGGAGGGAAAGTCCAAGTCCAGTGGAAATACTTTATGAAAGTACAAATGCTTGAAAGTACAGTACATGTACTTCGTTAGCATCCACCACTGTCCATGGCCCATGTGTCAGAGCCGTGTTTCCTCAACATGACAATAAGACTAAATGTGTAATGTATGAGGTATGACGTAACACATAAATGTCTGAGGGAACGTAGGACCCTGTGGACTCAGAACTCCTCCTGGTTTATGGATAGAACCAGTTAGGGTTAGAGTTAGGTTTTTAAAGTTAGGATTAGAGTGAGTGTTATATTTAGCATTGGGGAAGTTAAGGGGAATTAAATTGATAATTAGATCGACAAAGCATGTACAGTGGACTCTTTCTGACTTTGCACGATGCTAGCCGGCTTTAACTGCGATCATTTGGTGATCATATGGTCATTTTTCAAACTTACTTTCACTTAGTTCTCCAAGGGCTACCAGATTTCACATATAGGTTCAGGGTGTCCTTATTTAACTCAATCATTTGCACATGTTCTTTTTTAATCTCTTTTTCACGGATCCTTTTAGAAAACTGGACACTCTTCCATTTGTTTTAAGCTAAAGCTGTCAGACTTTGGACTGGACTTTTGCACTGTTCCAGTTCAATACGCTGTTTTTTTTTTTGACTGATGCACGTCTCTTTTCCATTCATCCCTTCCATCTTGTTGACTCATCGTTCTTTTCACTTTCAAATGACTTTCAAGTCATTTTTCAAACTGTTTCCACAGTTAAAAATGTAAGTTGTCATTATGTTTCATCATTGTATCTCTTTTAGTGTCTGCTCTCCACCCTTTCTTCCTTCCTTTGACATCCCTTTAGTAACTGTTTCTATTGTCTCCCAAAGTAGAACGCTGTATGAGTAAGTATGTAGCAACAGACAGGCTTTGCCATAAAGTCAGGCCTGCTTTTTTCGTGATTTGCAGGTCATATATAAGGTGAGAAACAGAACCCTCTGTTGGACTCTAATTGTTGCCTGCCACTGTTAATGGCTGATGTAGTCAGACTCATTAGGCCTGGGATGGTTGACTGCATCTTTTAACTTTCCGTAATGACCGTCTGGAACCAGGACTTATAGGTGGCTCTTGATTATTCCATAAATAATGTAGCATTGTTTATGTGGATAATGATAGCCTTTTCTTTTATTGACACCGCCGCAGGGCACTTTCCTCACCTCAGTTGGTCTCCACGGAAAGTCTGACCACCCACGCAGCCGAGCATAGTGGTCAAAGCTTAGAGAAATATCCATAATGATAACTCTCTCTGACTCCCAGCATCCAAACAGAGTCCTCTTAAAAATAGGCCGAAAGTGTGGTTTTGCAACGGTTAAGGCATATTTTAGTCTTTGAATTGCACAAACTGACGTGTGCTGTAATGGAATGACTCAGGCTATTAACTTGCTGTCTGAAAAGCAATTTCCCAAAACCATTGTTGTGATGGTCTGCATTACCTGCTTGATGTTTTGCCATTCAGAGAAACGCTTTTGGGCTCATTTCCACCAGAACATGTCCATGTTACTTGTCTCCGAGTGACAGTTTAAAAGGGCCCTTGTACATGGAAAATAATCTGCAGCTCTTTCAGAAATACTTTGTTTTTCAGTTTTAAACCTCGAAGATCTGAAGCGGTTGATTACCAGGCTTCTCCGTAGGACATCCACATTGTGTTTTGTCATGCTCCTTTTATAACATAATTGAAAGCTTATAATCCACAAGATTACACAATAAACATTATTTTTCTGTTATTTAACACTTTGAATAGCAGAGTTAACACAGTTGTTATTAGCTTTTCTGACCTATTGAGAGTGTCGTAAAATGAGTTATAAAGGTGTGTATTACTCAAGAGGGTAACTGATAAACAGTACTGTGCAAAAGTCAGAGACCACTTGTTAATTAATTTCCAGTCAAAATGGCCTTTAAGCACAAAGTATTTATTTTCAGTCAGAAAAGAAAGCAGAATACATATTTAGCAGAAAATTATACAGAAGCCTCAACATCTAAATGTAATATCACATCTTTCATTATTTTGTGTGTCCACGCTTGTCTTTAATACAGCTTCCATTGTTTTCAGGAGACTCGCTTTCTTTTTCAAAGAAATCTGGAGAGATATTTTTCCACACCTCCAAAGTTCAGTCTTGGAAGTTGGTTGATTTTCTGCTTCTCATGATCCGTGTAATCCCCAAATATATTAAATTCTGCTGAGGTCTGGACTCTGGGGTGGTCAGTCCATTGTTCTGGGAACACCAGCAGCTTTGTTGTTTGATTTGCAAATGTTCTTTTTTGTCTATTTCTTTTCTCAGTAAGGGCTTCTTGACAGCTACACTTCCCTTCAGACTCAGTGTTGAGTTGTCTTCTCACAGTAAAACGATAGACAGAAACAACTGTGGATTTTTCAGCTCTGAAGTAAGAGTGGAGCTTGATCAAGGATAAAAGCCTTAAGTACTGTTTATCTAATGGTGACAGTTTTGGTGGTCTACCAGGTCTTGCACGGTTGTTAGGAGTCCCATTTTCTCTATATCTTCTAATGATTTTAATGTAATTAATTCTTAACGCATTCTTAATGCAGTTTAGTAAACGCCTGTTTTTCTACTTATCCTTTGACTTTCCCCCTTCCATATGCAAATGGACTGACTTGTATGTAATCTCCTGAAAAATGAATAACTTGTATTTAATGTCCATTTGGAATGGAAACAAAAATGAAGGGTGCTCACTGACTTTTGCACAGTATTCTAGGTCAGGTCAAATGTGTCTGGACACACAGAGTTGTTTTCCAAGTAAATTCAGATATTTCTCACAGAATATCGCCAAGGCTCCTATTATCCAGAGACAAATAAGATAATGTAAAAAAGGGGCAAAGATTCACCGCAAAAGAAGCTTACTACTGAGCCACAGCTGAGAATAGTACTTTGGTACATGTACGAGCTGTTCTAGCTGTGCAGTTGCAGGATTTCTGTGTTCTTCCTTTGTGTTCTCTGAGGTTTAAGAAAAACAATGCCACATCAGGATACATACCTTGAGAAAGCAGCTACATTATCAGCTAGAGATTCCTGCTCATCTGCTCCTGAGAAATAATAATCAAACACCGCTTTTGGCAAGAATCTTTTAGCACGGTGCTCGAAATCACGGACGCAAACAGGCTTGTCAGACATGTTTCCTAAGAGACAACCCTCAATCTGCCTCTTTTGCCCCTTTGCAGCAGTTCACAAGGATCAGTGGGCCACCTATAAATAATTAACTCACAAAAGTTAACTTTGCAGAGTTTTACAACACACGTTTATCTACCCAGGGCCTAGTTGCTCCTGAAATAGCTACAGGGGCTTTTGCCTTGTAAGAGGTTCACAAATATGCTGAGCAGCCCACACTGAGAGGAATAAAAAATCGATGCTGTGTGTCGACTGTAAGAACAGAGAAAAGCTTTGCAGCTATGCAAAAAGTCCTTCCTGAAGAATCCCATCATGTCTGATTGAAAGCATGATTAAATGAGTAGCTCTTATTGTATTACTTGGCACTAGGATAATGTGCATTCATTTTCACCCTTGCAGAGATTTCCCTCTCAGCAGAAATTCTGCACCACACTGCTGTGTAGGTTGTAGGCTGTTAATATTCCTGGCCGTTTGGATCCTCCTCTCTATATATCCTCCTCTGCAGCTTTACATAACAGTATTGCGGGGCTCATCTCATCTCTGTATCCTACACAATATCAAGTTCAGAGGAGGACACGGTGTCTAATCATGTACAAACTTCCCTCTAAACTTCATATCACAGGAATTCGACTCGGAGATACAAAGTGTACAAGTCTACTGTGTTTTTTTTTAATCTATATCACCATAAATGCAACACCAAATCCCACACTAATCCCATTTTATTTCAAATAAAAAATGCTTACGCACACAGAAAATCGTTTAGCCTGCAAAATATTGTATTGACCATAATTTAATTCATAGACAATTAAACAATACAATGATGTCAATACAATTTTGGTATAGTGTATAAATGTATGTGAAAAAAGACACACAAAAACATGGCAAACATACTTGACAAGGTACATATTCCAAATTTCAACAGTCTGTCAACATTGTAAAACATATAATCATGATAGTCATATATTCACCCTATATTCCATACACAATTTCAATAAAAACTATGGGCTTCTAAAAATCCTGGGGATTGGATGAAAACTGTGGATGAGGAATATGATACCTAGTACTAACTTATATTCATGTTTTGTGACTTAATTAAAATGAATTAGTCCTAATATGGACATACCTCTAAAATGGGGACGCAAGGGAGAGCAAGCATAAAAAAAGCTACCATGCCAAAATAATAAACCACAGATGCAGAAAAACAAAAAAGAGATGGCACTCTGTATCACTGCTTCATATTCATCTTGGATAATATCAGCCTACATATACAGCAACATAACATCACTGTCCCAATACTTCTGCAAGGTACAGTGTAGCACACTGTATACTACATGGTCTCAAAGTGCAAATTCATCAACAGAATGCAATCAGCAGAGATTAAGACACTGAAGCCCAAAGCACACAGATTCAACAATCTCCAAAAAAACAACAAACACAAATGTTGGGTTGGCGTGCCACACCTGTGTGACTGTTGGAAGCCTCTAGAACAGGGGTGTCCAAACCTTTTGACTGCAGAGGCCAAGAAAACCAAATATTAAGGATGTACACTGCTCTAGAATGTTCTCCTTTTATTCACACTCTCCTAGAATGCTCCCTGCTATTTACACTGCTCTAGAATGCTATCCCCCATTCATACAGTTCTAGCACGCTCTCCTCCACTTTCACTGATCTAGAAGGTTCTCCTTTCATTCAGTCAGTTCTGGAATGTTTCCCCCCTTTTTCACTGCTCTAGAAGGTTCTCCCTTCATTCACTCAGTTCTAGAATGGCGTCCCCCACTACTAGAGCACTCACCCCCCATTCACACAGGTTTAGAATTCTCATCCCTCATTTGGCTTTCCGGTTTCCGGTTCAGTATAAGGGCAATTGCCAGCACCAGAATGTTGGTGTTTGTTGGGTAATGTTGAATCAGTGTGCCCTGGCCTTAAAGGAATTCTCCATTATTTCCCAACCTAATCTCTATCTGCTGGTTGATAAGGTCGATTACTACACAGTTTTGACACTTAATTAAAGAACTGTAAACTCCAAACACGCTTATTATAGAAGTCAGTGGACAGGTGCTTCAGCTTCCATTATAGGGAAAGTTCAGGGAAATACAAGGAAATTACAGTTAAAAAACAATGGAGAATTCCTTTAAGCTTCTATAAACAGATCTCTATATATTTTTTTATTTTTGTTTATTTATTCTTCTTTTGCAGATAAAGAACAATCCAGAGAGTGAAAATTCATATCCTGAGACCTTCATGTTAAACTGCTCTGACAACACCTGTATTATGATGATTGTCCTCACATTAGGAGTGCACTCACCACCATGTACATTAGATACTCTCAGTCAGTCACATCAGAGCTGTGCTGGTGTGTGCTGTCTCTGAAACGACTGTTACTAAAACAGTTCCATTGTGGCTATGTGATGTTGTGGCCCTGCCACTGGAATGTGATTAAACATGCACTTACAGAAAAGCAGTCGTTAGAGTTATATAAAAAAAAAAAAATAAAAATAATAATAATAATAATAATAATAATAATAATTGGAGGCATTATTGTAATGAACAACAGCGTAAACAAAGATATTCCACTTAGTATTACTGGACATGGACACCTAAAACATACAACGTTTATCCAACTTTTTGCTTATTCCAAACAATATTGACTTCATAAGTCATATAAGTCACCTGTTTGGTGATAAATCCTTGGCAAACAATTTTGTATGTAAATATAATTACTTTCAAGGTTTTTCCTAAGACACACAAGCAATACTGTTTTTCCATAAGCGGAGCTTGTAGAGAGAGATCAGGACGGGCTGGAGAAAAAGTAAGCAATACCGTAGATCAGCTAAAGAAACTGCACAGAAGAGAAAATGAGCATTATGCACTTACAGCATGGCATTCAGCACTGCCCTGTAGATGCAGGAGTTCCCTATTTTGGTTTACACTATATTTCAGATTTGTAGTGTGTGTTGAGACGTTATGTGCCCTCTGGACTGTTAGGCCCCTGAGGTTTCCTCTTCCTCACTGATCCCTCTGCTGCCCCCTCTGTCTGAGGCTGCTCAGTGCTGCCAGTTGCAACCTCTGTGACCGCGCCTCCTTCCTCTTCAGTGGACTCTTCACCAGACACTCGTTCACTCTCATTGTCCTGGTCAGACATGCGCTTCTCCTCTGTAACAGTGTCGTCCACCTCATCCTCTGAGCCTTCGTCTTTTGTGTACAAAACTGGAGAGGCAGAAGTACAGTTTCCACTGAGTGAAGAGAGGGATTATATTTCTACAGATCCTCTGACACAAAATAACGTTCAGTGTGTCATATGAGCTTGAAGAAAAGGCTTAGGAATGATACTGTTGCTGCATGAGATATTAATGTGAACACTAAGCATTTGGAATCAGGGCTAATGTTGTTAGACATTCAATACTGCATATCTTTTATTTCAGTACATGAAATCTTAAACCAAGCTGCCTCCAAATCCACACAAACTAAAATTATGAACACCATATGGATAAAATATTAGTACTGCAACTGTGTTGCTACATTTTTGCTTAAAATATGTAATAAAAAAATACACTGGGGAATCTGTAATGTAAAACGGTAAAAGGCAGGCCTGTAATATCCTGACCAAAAGAATTTACTTTGGTTGTATTCGGTTGAATCTAAAATCTAAAATTCATCACTCACAGAAACACTGATCAGGTACTGATGCATCAGGATGCTTACAGCATAGTGCTGGGTGACTTTGATAAAAATTTAACATCATGATATTTTCAGCACAATATGAGAGGATATTTAAGTTGGCATTAATCAAACTTCATCACATGAAAGGGAAGCTAAACCAGTACTGTAAATGTTAAACAATCAGAAAAAATTCCAGAAAGTAAACTTACTGCTCACTTAATTCTTGTGGATTTTTAACCTTTCTTTCAAAACAATTAAGACTAAAGTGCACAAAAAAGCTAAAAGAGAAAACACTTGGCAAAACACTGTGATCTAAGAGGGCTGCATATTTCAGTCCAAAGTGTTTCAGTCCAGACTGCTTTTTTGAATGAATCACAATACAGAACAGCCGATTAGAACAGAGGCCATTTACATATATCGGTCTTAAAGGCACAGTAACAAAAACAGCCTGTTTAATTCTAAAGGATAAAGAGAGGCTGGAAAGTGGTCAAGTAAAAATGAACGACTATTTTTGATACCTAAACCCACACAAACATTATAACTGAACCTCAGGTTAAAAATAAATACTAATAAAAATTTAACATACAGTAGGCTCAGTACCTTTGTGCTTTCTAAACAATTAACATTAAGAACTGACTTTTTTTTCAGAAACAGAGCAGGTTTGCTCCTAGATTTAAAATGATTTTTAAAAGAATCTCCACTGACATTGTGCCCAAGTTTAATATTTTGCCGGTTTAGAAAACCAAACCAATCAGGTGGCATAACTTCATAACTCTAGATTTTGTGCAGAAAATAGTTTGTCACAAACAAACACAGTACAATTTTAAGATATGAGTTCCTTCTCTTTTTCTTCTTACCAGGTTTATCCTCATTTCGCTTTGGCCTAGATGGACAAATACAGTCAGCAATCAACACCAACATCTGCAACATAGAAATAAAAAAAAGAAAAAACCGCTTGAAGTGCACTTCCAAAAGTTCTTTCTATAATACGTGAGGTGCCTGTGCCACCCACTTCCACCTCAAAAGTGTGGTAGAATCGACAACGATTACACAACCAAGAGTTGTATAATACAGCAGCCAAACGTCTTTATTTTATTACGTAATTCCTAATGGTGCAAGTCATCATGTATCTCTTTATGCCATTTTAGAAAAGGAGAAGTCAAGTATAGTTTCTCTGATGTTAATGCAGTGGAAAAGTCAAAAACCCTTTTAGGGCTGCACTCTCAGCAGTCGATGGAAATATTATGCATGAAATCCTTTCATACAAAAGATAGGACACCCCACTCCATCATTTCAAACAAAGAGACAATTTATTTAGTACATCTGAGGTGTTCTTAACTTACCAGACCGAGGACTAGTCCCATGAACAGAGTGATGATGGCAAAGATTACGTAAGAGCCCCACGAGGGAATGCCAAGAGTGTCAGTGAGGTACGTGTGGATTTGCTGAATTCAACAAGAAGAGACACAGTATTTTTTTTGTTTTCTCTCAAATTTCACTTCTACCAGAAAAGTTTTCATTTTGAAACAAAACATTCCTTTGAAACAAAAAATATTACTATTTTTGAGCTACACAATATTATTTAACTGTACAGAGTAGTTTAGAAGTAACTAAATGTTTTAGAGACTGAAGTGTGCATTAGACTCAACAATGTAAAAACAATCATTCGTCAAAGCCTAAACAAAAAAAAAGCCTCATACCCTAATCCACACAGAGAGCCGGAAGAGACCAGCCATTCCCGACATTCTGGAGGAGGAACGAAATATATTAGACAAGGAATGAGCAATAAAACATAAATTATTATTGTTCTACTGTTGTTTTTTAAATGAACCCTTTATACTCATATCTTCAGTAAGTATATGTACTAGTATCTTATAAGTTTGTTTCAGTAACTGTTACTTCTTATGCTATATACACCATATATGTCCCCAAGGTTTTACAGGTGCATTAACATAGTGTATTATTATTATTATTATTATTATTATTATAAAGAATGATATGGAAGGGGAATGCCACACATTTTTCAGAATGGAATGTCAAATTCAATAGTTGAGATGGAAACAAAGTCATTTAGAATGGTGTGATTTAAAAATGG